GGGTCCGTTTGCTGCCCGCGGCCCTGCTCGACCAGAACGGTGTCGGAAGCCATGTCCTGCCGGTAGAAGGGATCGTCGTTCCGGAGCGTCGCTTTTTTATAGGTGCTTAAAGATGAATTCCAAGACCGCCAAAGATATAATTATCGGCAGGTGGGGCTTAAAGTCGGGCAGGTCTAGACCTGAGAGTTCTCCCGAGAAGTGTAAGCAGGAGAACGCTGCCCCGGGAAAGTCAACGGAGGAGGTCGATGGAGGAGAAAACCAACTGCTCGATCCGGAAAGGAGCAGGCTCCGGGAGGTGAGGAGGATGTCTGTGGTGTCCGAATTGGGCCCAGCTAACATACAGTCTGAGCGTATGTTATCTTCATAAGCGGGATACCAGTCTTTCCTCTTAGAACTTAGTTTACTTTGATGTCACTACTGGTTTAGTTTGACATTGTCGTTCTCAAATATTTTTCAGTGATGACCGAACTAATAAAATCACAATCATCTGACAAAGCTGTTAAATACAAACGCTTGAGGGCAGAGGGGCCAGTTAGTCCATTAAGGCCTGTCCTCACATATCTGACTGTTCAGAACAGTTGGTCCCACAGAATTACTTTGAGCACTTCCTGCAGAGAACATAGTGTTTACAACGGGTGCTTAAGAACATGCTAAAAGTTGCTGAGTATTTGCTTAACTATAGTCTCAAGCTCCTGCTGTGCTGTAGGTAAAGAAAACTAATCAGCTCACCACAGTGTTCTTCCATTACAGCTAAAGAGCAGAAGCTCAGACACTGACATTTCTGCACCTTATAGTCCATTCAAAGTAAAGCTGTGGTTGCATAGAAAGAAGTTCAAAACTTAGTATGTCGCCAGGTCACATACTGTCATGCTTCCCAGAAGGACTGGGAAACTTCAAATCTGCTCTTTCAAAGGATAAAACTAGTGGAGACTAGGCACACTTAATATTTCTAGGCTACTTTTTGTGACAATAAGTCTTTTCACATGTCTGTGCTACAATGCCAGTTGAGAAATGCTCACCCAAGCACTGGCTTATGTATTGCTGTAGCTAAATTCCTCCATATATTTGTTGTGTCTGGTGGAGTTTGCTGCTTGCTCAGTGTTGGTTACTTAATATTGAGTTCCTGGTTTACAGGTGGGAAATCACAGGCATATTTAGATACACTAGGTACTCTTTGGTGTCAGTATTTTAATTCTAGTGAATACCGTGTGGTTTTCCAACCACTCCCCAAATGAGGCGTGCTCAAATTCAGTTTCTTTCAATTTCTTTGTCATCTTCTAATGACTTGATGGCAACATGTAGCATTTCAACGTCAGCCTTTCTCACAGAAAATGAAATGCTATTGTAACAGAAGTTTGCATAGAGCCCCAAGGTATCTCCAACACAGAACTAGCAGTACTAATGCTATGTAACAACTACCTGTGCTGGAGCCTTACTGAGAAGAGAGTGCCTGTTGGAAATATCTACTAAAGCACATTTTGAAACTAAAAGGCCAGATAGTTTGTAAAACAGGATCCTTCTCCTGAATGCTTTATTATAACTTTTGTAATGTCACTTATTGTCATTTAGTTTTCATGAAGGCTCTGCTGCTTCTTAAAAGCTACTAAATATGCTAATGAACACTAAGAAATAAAGTGTTTTAGAACACTTAGTATTTTAGAAACTTTAGAACACTAAGAAACAGCAAATGTTTTAGAGTTCTTGTACTGCTTGCATTTTAAGGTTCATAAACTGTAGTGATCTGTATTTACATACAAAACTGAGTACCTACCAAGTCTGTGAAAGCTGGTTCTTTGCATTCTTTCCTTGTTTTCTCTACTTCAGATTGTTTTTATGATCACTTGAAATATTTCAGATGTTCACAGTATTGTGATTATCACTGTAGTATTGTCCATTTTGAGTAAAAAGTAATATTCTCAGCTAATTAAAAGCTAAGAACGTTTCAAAGGGAGTATCTTCTCAAACTGTGGTAAACTTGCTACTGCATTTGTTGCATAGACTGACACTTATTAATTTGTGTTACTTCTTTTATTCTGTTTCATTCAGAAAATACTTTCCCTTGAAAAAGAAAAAGAAAAACACAACCATCTTCTTGGAGAGAAGGACAAAGAAATCCAAAATCTGAAAGACAAGCTTAGGTCCAAAAACAAGAATAGCGAAGTCATCTTATTACAAAAACAACTAGAGGAAAAAACAAAGGAAGGAGAAAGGAGAGAACAGTTACTTTGTTCTCTCTCAGAAGAAATGAACCGGTTAAAATGTAATTTATCCACTGTTACTGCAAAATGTTCTGAGCTTGAAAACCAAGTGGGTACTTCTCGGGCATCCCAGGTGAGCACTGAAGAAATATTATAATTGCAAATTCCAAGTCTAACCTGTTTAGGTTAGACTTGGAATTTGTGCCCACTAAGTACTGATTTCTGCTATAAAATAGGATGGATTTTTAATCATCTTACAAATTGCGCTGCATGCGGAACTATTCCTGTACGAAGAGAGACGGTACCCGGCCTGAATGGTAACTGAGGAACAGTCAGGGAGCGCAACTTCAGGCAACGCAGCTGGGGAGGGGATTCTCTAGTGCTGGACCACAAGGTCCCTTTTTCAAGCTCACATGCAGGTGGTGTGGCCAGTGGTACCACCTGTAATGACCCGCTGTCGCTTAAGCGTTTATTATGCCCTTCTTGGGCTTGTATGCTCAGTGATTAAACACACTGAGAAGACAGCACTAACAGAGACATGGGGCATTAACAAAGACAAACTAAGCTTCTCACTTAATTAAGCTTCAGTCATGAGAATACCTTTCTCCTCCCTGCTCTTATGAGTCATTTGCTCCTTGGTTGTTAAAACCAGTTGCCTGTACTTTACGTGGAATCACCTGTGGTAAATACGTCAATGTGACAGAAGACAGGACAGGAATAATGAGTTGCTTCTCTCATTTACAGTGGTTAATAGGTGTGGTGCCAGGTATTTGGCAGCTTTTACAAGTGCGGTTAGTTTTCTACAGTTGTTTTTCCACCCTTGCCTGTTCTAATGTTCCATGGAAAATGCAGTACTGTCTCAGGAAGGGGCGCGGGGAAGTTGGTGCCCAACGGTAGTGTCTGTAAAGTCTTTTCTGGCATTTGACCTGCAGATGGTGCTGGTTCCCCATGCGCTACACGGAAGCAGGCTTATTTCTAGAAATTCAGACAAATACATAGCAAAATATCTTAACCTATTCATTTTCAGTGATAATACATATATATCACTTTAATCATGCAGTATCTTGGGAAATACCTCTTTAAATGCAACATGCTTATTTTCAATTTAGAGAGACTTTGAACGTTGTTAGAGAATTTAAAATGTATGTTAATTCAACAGATTTCCGTGATAGTTTTGTCAATGAATTGCCAAAATGTCTTTTAGTTTAAAACCAGAATTTTCTTTCACATTTTTTACTGATTTATCAACAGAGGACAATAAAATGTGACTGATGTTTTGACCGGATGTCTTGGAAAACTTGAAAACAAGTCTAGCAATGCTGCTTGAAACTGCTAGGTGGCATATGAGCAGCAGGTATACTCAGAAATGGAAATAACAGGTGTATGACAACTTTGAGAGAGTTTTTGCTGAGGCAAAGTTCTAATGTTCATAGAAATAGGAATGTGAGCAACTGTAGTGTCTTTAAATCCTATTTTTATTAAGAAGTGCTAAAGTTTAATAATCACATTCAAAGTTCTCTTGTATTTTTTTCAGTTATAAAGCTTGTTCTAAATCATGTTCCAAAAATCACAGGAAAACTCCGGAAAAAACATAGTTTGTATTTGGGTAGCAATCCTCATTTTTATCTCCTTAAAGTTCTCTCTGACTCTTATCTACACAATTTCAAAAAAGCTTTCTGTCATGCAGTGAATAAACATGTCAGAATATGGAAGACGTGTAACTATTTAACTGCTTTCTAGTTTTAGAAGGGTTTAAAGAACTCTCTGACTCACTTTGAGGACTCTACTGTGGATCAGGTCTCAGAAAATCAGTCGCTGTGTCCTTATGGTTCCAGACAGGCTTGCGTGGTTTCCCAGCTGTTTATAATCCTCCTGTTATCCTGATGAAGTTGTCAGGTCTCTCGCTTTCCCCAACAACTCCTGTTTTCTTACCCTCATACCAGTTTGACAATAAGCCAGACCTATAGAACAAACACTTACCTTTTTTGTGTATTTAAATAATACCCTAAATATCTCCATTTTTCAGAAGCTCTCCTGCACCCTTCAGGTCTTCCAAGATAGCAGTTCAGCAGAAGAGACATGATAGTTGTCTTAGGAAATGTTTTAATGTAACTATGAGTTGCGGAGTTATGGAATAAATTAAATGTAAATCTTTGTCCTGTATCTTGCAGATTTTATTTTAAATCTATGAAATGGTTTTCTATATAACTTAGATCCTTTTTTTTTAAAAAAAAAGACTATAAAGATCTTTAAAAACAAAAGGCACATGTATGCATCTGTTTTCCATTTATTAAATATGCTATTTATGTGAGATTAATAGTTATACAGGACTAGCTTTACTGTTTCAGCCATCTGTTTTAAAGAACAGTAACAGGTTGTTCTTTGCCTGCAGGAAGCTGTAACAAACAGCACTGGATCACCAACTCATCTTCATGAAGTTGAAAAACAACTGAAAGATGTAAGTTTCCTGTACAACACTGCAAGTACAAATCATCTGTACCAAGATGTGTAAGAATGTAAATTATCACTATATACATTTTTGGGTAGTATGAGACCTCACAGGGTACATTTCCTTCTATAATTATTTTGTGACAAGACAGTAATTTATGAAAATTAAAAAAAAAAAGACTTGCAAAGAAGAAAAAGACAGTATTTTCATTATCTTTGAAAAACCTTGCTTGGAACATCAGAACAAAGTGACTGCTGACAAAAGAGCAGCCCCAAGGAACCTGGTCTGACCTCAGAGCTGACCCTGCCTGGGTTGGCATGAGAGTGAACATCCTGAGACTCCTTCCAACCTGAATAATTCTATGATCCAATCAGATATAAAATTCATGTCCTTGTTCTTACAAACTTAAAGCTGCAATGATACAGTCTTTGTTTATTCCATTTTCAAGATCAGTTATGTTTTATTTTATATTTGAGATTGAAAGGTTAATTCTTCATGATCTGGGCATGACTCATGAAACCCTTTGTTTTTAAGTCATTCTCCTGTTCCAGCAAGTAAGCCAATCAGTATTTAATATTGCTGCGATTTTAACTTGTGCTCTGCAACCTGATTTATCCTTCCAAATGAAGATGGGTTTTATTTATTGTACAGAGATTACTACAATTTGCAGCAGAATTAACTGTCTTATCTTTACACTGTATAATATAACTTTTAACATTTTTAAGAAATAAGGCTAATACTTTTAAAATCTGATAAATTAACAGAGGCTTTTTTGTTGTTCTTCTGTTCCTTTTCATGAAGGCTCTTGAGAAGAACCAACAGTGGCTACTGTATGATCAGCAACGTGAAGCGTATGTCAGGGGACTGCTTGGAAGAATCTTTGAACTTGAACAGAAGTCAGAAATAGTTAGCCGACAAGAATCTAAAGAATTAAATTCAGAAGGTATCGACTTTATTTTTTCCCCACCCAAACCATAATTATCTGTAGAGTAAGTTTCTGAAAACAAATTATAGGAGAATTAAACAAAATCAAGACTTTCTTCTCAACATTTTGTTTTCTTAATGGTAAAACTTGGTTAAGTAAAATTTCTTTCCTTCCTGTTACGTAGCTATGTAACTTGATCAACAGTATTTTGTGCTCTTATCTACTTCAAAGATGGTTTTTTACAGCCTTGACACTCTATTAGCAACCTCTGTGTTTGTGTAAAGTGTTGAGACAAATATATGTATGTCTCCCATCCTTCAAAGTACACTTTCAACCTACATAAATGGAAGCATTAAGGATTTATTAGCTAGGTGTGGATCAGGTTTTTTAAATTTACTTTTTTTCAAAATAAATATTATAAAAATGACTCAAGACTGTCATGTTCTTTACTCACCTGAACAATTGTTACAGGGCATGAAAACCTGTGATAGGTTTTGGCACCTATCCAAACCAGTGTTTCGCAACATGGTTCTGGCCCCCTCTAGCTCACTTCTGGGCTATGCAGTTCCTCAATAAGGAGCACCCTCTCAGTACCGCGCATTCAGATTGGCTTGAGTTGTGCTTGACCAGCATGTGGAGTAAAATTAAAATCATGTTGAACAGAAGAAACAGCAGGGGTTGGCTTACTTTTCTTATTATCAAGTTATTAATTTCATATATGCTGCAACTGACCTGCAAGGTATATTCACTAAATAGAACTAGCATCATCTGGAGCAAGAGTATGCCCACAGATACTTGCCACTTCACATTCTTGTGTAGTGCTTGGTTTCTGTTTTACTGCTTGAACCTTTATGGAAAACAGTAAAATAACCATCATAATCTTGTTTTGGTACTGTTTAGAAATCTATGAACAGGATTTTAGAGGGAAGCAGGCTGAAGTAGCTCACCAGGAAATGTAACTGAGGTACTACAGTCAAATCTTTGTCATCAGGGCAGCCAGGAGACTAGAAATAAGGGTATAAGAAAGTTCCTCTCTTCAAGCAGCTAGACAGTAGCAGAAATCCATGTTTCTAAGAACATAGCTATACAAGTTCAAAGTAGATAGGACAGCTTTTTCCAAGGAAAAACTTGGTGTATCTCTGAGGATCTTGCCACCCTATAAAGCAGTATTGCTAACTAGAAGGTAAGGCAGTTCATAGTCAAGGGGAAGGAGAACAGTCAAGCAAGAAACTCTCCCTAGTAAATTGCACTTTGCAGAATGGGGAGAAGCCTTTTATAGGAAAAGTATTGAAGTCAGGAAATTTACAGTGCCAAAAATCAGCAAAGCCTGTGAAATTCTACATTTCTTGTTCTGCTTCTAGGTATATTTCATATTGCTACTGAATTTCTACAGACTGCCTCTTTTTTTCCCTGTTTACTTTTCTTGGGTCAACAAGTGGAAATTTTTTAAACTAACAGTTGCTAGCCAAGAAAGAGGCATTTTTTTAATCAAAAAAACCTATCCTAGTCCCTTCTATTTGCAATTTAGAAGTAAAAGAACAATTTGAAGAAGATAGTCTCCAAAAGACAATGTATGGTCTGGCTTTGGTCAACAATGGTGAAGCAGAGCTCATTAGATCCCCAGGGTACCTCTGGGGAGGGAGTAATGCCAGAACCTTGGCTAAAGAGCCTCAATCTGGAAGTGAGAATCGAGTGCCTTTGGGCCTTGGTTCCCATGCGTCAGTATAATGCAAGAGGCCCTGTAAGAACTACGTGTGGGTCATGGAGCTTGTGTAGTCAGGGCAAAGGATGGAGTATTGCCATTGGGGTTTGTGCAGGAAGTAGCAAGCTGAGTTGCAGTTTTCCAGTACCTGTATTGGGAAGGAGACTTTACTGCATTAGAAGTACTGAAAGCTGTTTTAACTGAAGTTTGGTGCCAATCTGAGCTGTGTAATAGCCTAGGATGTCCATTTCCATCAATATGCCTTCAAATGCTGTCAAGGACTTGGTGTTCTGATTAAGTGATCTCTCTTCCCCCCCCAATTATTTCTGACTCATTAAGGTCATCTACAAGAGGAAAAGCAAAAATACTATGACCAGCTGTTACTAACTGCTAAGAGTGATCTTGAGACCGAAAGACGCACTGTAACCCAGCTGAGATCTGAACTTAACGAATTAAAAAAGAAGTATGAAGAAACACAAGGAGAAAGAACAAGTTTAAATGCCTTATTGCAGTCACAACAGGCTGCTGAAATGAAGACTCTAGAAAATGAAAATAAAATGAAAGGAGAGAAAGTGCAGAGACTAAAACAAGAAAATGAAACTATTAAGGGACAGCTTAGAGAAGAAAAGAAGAAGTCTGAAGATCTTTTATGTCAGGTAAGTGGATGCACTTTGAGGGTTAAGTTCATTAGAGAGCTGAAAAGTCATACTTAATCAGAATAGACCATCACTCACTTGCTCTGGTATCAGTACTTCATGTATATCTAGACTCATGTCCTCATGGCTAAAACTGAATTCTTTCTTTAATACACTGGTTTGAATCAAAATGCAAACTTTTGTGAAATTTCCTTGTTTAAACAAGGAACTTATTTCTTCACTTATTTCCCTGGTCTTGGGGGACACAAGAGGGAGAAATGAGAGAATATTTAATTGATTCTAATCTAGTTCATCCTGAAGTCAATGCGAACAGGAAAGGTAAAAATTCAAGTCTGTACAGGCTATTTTATCATGCGGTCCTGGCTATGGAGTATCACTGACACTTGCTGTCACCTGGGTACTACAAATACACACCTAGGTTTGTAGTTTCGTACTTACTGGATAAGCAGCTGCGTCCCTGGATAGTGCCTCCAGCCAACCACTGTGGCCAGGCAGCTGGGGTCGTCTTGTTTGCTTGTTGTTCCATGCAGATGAGTTCCCGCATTTGGTTCTCTATATGGTGCCATGGATAACAACTATGCAGGCACACTTGAGGACTAGAAAGCAACACCAGATAAGCAAGGGAAGGGACAGACCTTAAGTTATCTCCGTCTTGAAGATGGCTATGGTAGAAACCACTGAGTTCTGTAATTCCTTATAAAGCCTAAGCAGTGCCCTGCCCTAACAGGCAGACTGTTCAGTATCTGTGGTTTATGCTGTTGCCAGATCTGTTGTGTTGCTTTCGCATCAGATTCTAATTGTTTGCAGGGCTTGCCTGTTTCCCAGAGAGTACCTTGATGACTTCAGCGAAATAATTCTGTTCATGCGTGAAGCTCTTAATTCTTCCTTCCTTCTGTTTTTGAGCCCAATTACTTTAACCACTCTGGCTGATCAGAGATGGGGGAAGACATGTAAGTGCTGTATGTTTGTATTTAAAAATATTCAGTGCTGACCTCCTTTTGTTTGGAACACTCATGAGGACTTTGCCACTTCCCCTACATGGAGAGTTACAGTGGTGTCTTGGAATATTCCTGTCAGCATGGTGACGCTAACAGCAGCGAAATCCGTTGTTTCTTCTTCTGGATGTGAAATCATGACCGCATATCTGCTGAAGAGAAACTGGAAAGTCCTGCTTGAAGGACTGTCCTTGGAGCATCCAAATAAGATAGACTTGCTACTTGGAGAAGTTTGGGGTCAATATCAATGCAATGTAGGACGGAAATTTGAAATATGAGAGTAAAATTTACTAGGCACCAAAGTAGGCTAAAACTAGAACAACAATTTCGCTCTCTAAACCCAGGCTGGTTCTCACTGGTTAATAATGATTAAAAGGTGTTGATTTTTTTTTTTATTCTGCAGCTGAACAACAGCATTCCCTATAAAAGTTGGCAGATGCTGATAATGGGGGGTATTTTGAAGTATGCATTTACTTCATCCATTATAATGTAGTACTTTGAGTCTTAAACTTGTTCTATTTAAAAAAAAGTTCCATTACTTGTTTTTTTTAACATCATGATATGTTATTGCAAATGTAGGTTTCACAGGTATATTTTTGTTTGCATCCTGGCAATCGCCTACAAAAGTTCGGGTTTTTTTTTTTTTTAACTTTAACATCATCCTGCATTCCTCCTGCTCAATGCAATAATAATGTTTCCCTGGGGTTTTCCCCAGGGAAGTAGAGAAATGTGAGTTGGCTTTGGCTCTTGCATAACAGGCATGCATTTTCTGTTGGTGTTGGAATATAAACATGTACTTCCATCTGTTTTTAGATTCATTATTTGTTAATCTTATTAAGTGTTGTGTATGGAAGTTGTTTGTTACAAATACTTTTCTGCCTTGTAGGTGCAACTTCTTCGTAAGTCATTGCCCAAACAGCAGGAGGAACGCACTAGGATAGCTTTGTTGGAACAACAGGTACCCAATTATATGCTAAGATGCTGATACTTAAACTGTATTATACATAAAGGTTTTCTAGACTAACTTCAAATTTAAGAATGAGTAGTATATTAAATAAAGTAATATTGGATATGACTATACAACTGTGAATAATCTCTTGATGCTTCTAAAAATTCTGATGTGTCTGTCAAGAGGAAAGTCTGTAACCTTTACAGATAAGAGGGTGTGATTAAACCTGATGCTATTTTCTCCACAATCACTTGTTCAACTGTACAATCTCAGATTAGGTATGGGAAACACCCTAAAACAAATGGGCTCATTGAAGTTTTGTAATATACTCTTGATAAACTTATGCAAATAACTGCATTGCCATCTTTTCCATCTTTATTTTTTCCAAGGATATTCTTACAGATCTAACTGATGTTATTAGGAAAAAAAATAGTTACTTGCTAAGCTGGGGTGTTAAGCATAGTTCCTGTCCTAATTATCTTGCTACAAGAAAGTTCCTGGAGTAGAAACTGGAATTTCAAATAGAGCTTGCACTAAATGGTTTCTATAAAATGTTCAGTTTAAGATTGCAAGACAGGTTGAAATACCCTCCAACCAAAACAACTAAATAACTTCAAACTCCACTTCTACTAAGGAAGAAGGTTTTCATAACTGGGTGTGTATGAATTTCACTGTAGTCAAAGCAACAACTGATTTTTTTTTTTAATTTAAAAAAAAAATATCTCAGTTTAGGATATGATTGCAGGGTAAAACTTACTTTAAATATATAAAGACTTTTAATTCTTTAATTTTCACTCTGGGGGGTTGCCAGATCCAGATATGCACCGCAGACTTTGAGAATGAAAAGCTTGATCGCCAGAACTTGCAGCATCAGTTAAACAAAGTCCTTAAGGAACTGCGCAAGGCCAGGGAGCAAATAACCCGTCTGGAACCTCTGGTATGTCCTGAATAACTTACAGGGGAATTTAGTCAGGAATTTTGCATAGATGTACATGTTTTCACTTGGGGATCTTATTTCAAGTGTATCCAGGATTGCCCCGGTCTTGAGCAGAAACGCATTTTGACTGTTGGTGCTTCTGGAACTCTCCTATAAGGCATCTTGTAAGATTAGGTGATAGCTGAATAGGACTGTCAAAACTGCAGTTCTGTACTTAAATGAGGTTCAGAATGGAGATCAGATACCTGTGTCCTTCATTAGATCAGGTCTGGGGCTGCTGTGATTTTTACAGAGAAGATAAATGCAAAAGCTCCTAACGAGTTGCAGATGAGAGGAATTCTTCTGTGACTCTGCCAGACTGCTCCCCCTCTTAGTCGTATGCAACTTGAAAGTATATTCTCAAATGAGGAAGGGAATGGAATGAATCCTGAGATAGTGATGTTCTTCACTCATGTGTTGCCCTGCAGGAGCCTCACTTGCTAGGACTGCAGTTGCTGCTGCTGCCAGGGGAGGCCCTTGGAAAAATCTCTCTGCTGGGAGTAGAGCAGGGAAGTTACAGCTTTGAGTTTCTCTGTGCTAAGCTGGAGGAGTAGCTGTAAAATGGACAACTGGGTGCCTTTCACAGTTAGGGACAGCCTTCATGCACAGAAATTTCACACATGGGATCGGGAGGAGAAGAGAAAATCACGGCAAGAGTTTTTGGGAAGGTAGGCAGCATCCTATGTAAAGGGGACCGAGGCATCATTCTGTTAGGGAAAGGTAGTGAGTGGCTAGGAAGATGGCTGGGGAAGGATTCCCAGTCAGACCTTGTGTGAAATCCATCTTAAACAGTCTACAGAAAAGCTACCTGCAATCTAATTTAAACGTGGTGTTAGAATGGTATCTGTCACTGACACGAGTAGTGTAACTGCATTTAGCCGTCTTTAGAATTCTGCCCTTAGTGCTATAACGCACACAAGGCTTGTGTGCCATCAAACCTCCGTGG